GTATTACTCCAGACGCCCCTTTCGGGAGGGATCTGGCTCCCGCCCTTTCAGAAAGTATAAGTGACTCGGGAATCAGCTCCCATAGGGGGGCGGCTCCAATTGTTTCACTCTTAGTGGGAGCAGGTCACGTCGGACCAGTGGGTATTACAAACGATCTGATTGGGTCTCATCCTAGAATTCCTCTCTCTTCCTCCCCGTCATTTCATCAGGTGTCCCGTTCCCTCGTGTCCTGTCAAAAAATCCCTCATGGAACAGGAAATAAGACATCTCAGGGAGATCAGGGCCATAGAGCCGGTACCTCCTGGTCAGGAGGGGACAAGGTTCTATTCCATCCTGTTTCTGGTCCCCAAAAACTCCGGAGGGTGGAGGGGGATCCTAGATTTAAAATGGCAAAATAATAATGTCATTGGAGGTTCAAGATGCAGTCCCTCCAGTCAATCCTGGGCTGCATCAGGCCAGGAGACATTTTAACCTCCATAGACCTAAAAGAGGCCACGTCCCCATCCGCAAAGCCCACCGCAGATACCTGAGGTTCACTTACACCGGTCAGCACTACCAGTACCGGGCCATGCCGTTCGGCCTGTCATTGGCCCCCAGGATGTTCACCAAGGTCCTCGCAGCAGTGGCGGCGTTCCTCAGGTTGCGGCCAATAAGGCTGCACTGCTATTTAGATGATGTGCTCATCCAGTCATCATTCCCCCAGCAGGCGGTCGAGGATCTGCAGTACACTATGCAGGTTCTCTGGAGTCACGGTTTTTCCATCAACTTGGAAAAGAGCCATCTTCACCCCACCACGAGGCTTTAGCATCTAGGGGCCGTCATCGACACCGTTGCCTGCCAGGTCTTCCTATCAACAAAGAGGGTGGAGAGCTTCAGGGAGATGGCCATACAGGTACGGCGGTCTCCTCGTGCCAATATTGTGCTGCTGTCACAGCTTCTGGGCAAGATGATATTGTGCCTATCCATCATTCCGTGGGCACGTCTTCACTCTCATCCCCTCCAGTGGCTCCTGCTGCCCTATCTAAGGGCCAACGAGAGCAGCTCACCAAGGCTCGTTCCGGTATCCGTGAAGATGCATCGCTCGCTTGGATGGTGGTTGTTTCCTGCCCTGAAGAAGGGGTGTCCGTTCAAGGAGCCAACCCGGCTCACCTTCACGACAGATGCCAGTTTGTACAGTTGGGGTCCCACTTCCGCAACCAGATAGCTCAGGGCAGGTGGTCCTTGACTGAGGCATCGCACAGCATCAACTGGTTGGGGATGAGGGTGGTCCGGTTGGCCCTGCTTCAATTTCAGATGGGCATTCAGGGTCATCACATGCGGGTGCTGACGGACAACGTCGTGACGAAGGCGCACATCAACCGACAGGGGGGCACGCGGTCCAGGTCCTTGATATCGGAAGCCAACGACCTAGGTCGATGGGCGGAGCTCCATCTGATGTCCATACAGGTGTAGCACATCTCCGGCATGGTGAACACCCAGGCGGACTGGCTGAGCAGGGTGACTGTTGATCACTCGGAGTGGTGCCTGCAGCATAGTTCAGAGATTCGGTTGCCCGCAGGTGAACCTGTTCACAACAGCAGCCAATTCTCATCTTCCCAGGTTCTCCACCAGGTTCCACGACCCGAGGGCCAAGGGACTAAATGCTCTTCACTGCCCTTGGCCGAAGGAACTGCTCTACGCCTTTCCCCCATTGTCTCTTCTTCCCAGAGTCATCAGGAAGATCCTGGCAGAGGCAGCGGAGATCCTTCTGGTAGCCCCCTTTTGGCCCAGGAGGACCTGGTTTGCCGATCTGGTGAGTCTGTCTGTCCGAGACCCGTGGCAGATTCCTCCACACGAGATCTCTCTCTAACAGGGGGCCCTTCTTCATCCAGAGCCCCAATGGCTACAACTAGCTGTTTGGCACTTGAGAGGGATCTCTTAAGTATGGACAACCTTTCTTCCAAGGTGATCAGCACCATTCAGGGGTCACGTCGTCCTTCCACGACTCGGATTTACGATGCCACCTGGGGGGCCTTTGTTACCTGGTGTTCTTCCAGAGGTGTTTCAGCTTCTTCAGCTTCGATTACTGTCATTCTGGACTTTCTGCAAGACATCCTTGATAAGGGTTTGGCGCTTAACACTCTTCGTCGTCAGGTTGCCGCACGCTCCACCATCCTGGCCTCAGCCGTCACCCCACCATTCGCAGTTTTCTCAGGGGGGGTGACTAAACTGAGTCCCCCGATGGTTCACAGATACCTGACTTGGGACCTTAATGTGGTTTTGCGGGCTCTGGTCAAACCACCATTTGAGCCCCTCCGTTCGGCCAGCTTGAAACATCTGACCTTTAAGACCGTTTTTCTCATTGCCATCACCTTGGCTACATTTGTGCTTGTTTCACCAAGACAGGGTGATCCTTCGGCTGGACCCTTCTTTCGTGCCTAAAATTAATTCCTAGTTCCACCTGGCCTAGGAAGTCATCTTCCCTGACTTCTGTCCACATCCGAGGCATCCTCGCGAGGAGCACTGGCACAAACTGGATGTTTGCAGGACGCTATGCAGATACATCAAGTGTACGGCCAGTTTTCAACGCTCTGAGTCATTGTTTGTATCCTTCCAGCTGTCATCTCAGGGGAAGAAGGTCTCCTCATCTACGATTGGTGGTTGGCTTAGGGCCTGCATAGCTCTCGCCCATGATCTGCAGTCTCTACCGGAACCCAGTGGCATCACGGTGCATTCGACCGGAAGTGCTGCCACCACCGCAGCCTGGGTGACGCAGGCTCCCATTGAGGAGATTTGCAGAGTGGCCACATGGACTTCCTTATCTCTGTTTGTGCGGAATTACAAGTTGGACAAGTTTGCTTCAGTGGAAGGGGCCTTTGGGAGGCATGTTCTGCAGGGTATTCATTCCAGCGGAGAGACCCTGTCTGCTTCTGCTTCCCACCCTAGTGACATTTAGCTTGGGTATCTTGTTGCTTGGACTCTCCTGAGCAGTGCCCTGGAAAAGGGCCATTGACTTCCATGAAGGGTTGTTTTCAGGGTGCTGCGAAGGAGAGTCCACCCCACCCTGGGGTCTGGCTCCGCTGTTATTGTGTTTGTTTTCTTAGATGTTCCAGTTGGACTTGTTCCGGTTGTGTTTCTTGTTGATCCAATGTGGGAGTTCTCAGCGTGCAACTGTTCGATGTCTTCATTGTATTTAACCTTTAAATACATTGCTGTATTTAACCCTTGCTTGGACTCTCCTGAGCAGTGCTCTGGAAAAGCATTATGGAGTCTCTTTTGGAGGCAGTTACAAAACAAGGACTGCAAACCATCACCTGATGGTTGGGTGAATTATTATTGGACTATGAAATGGGGTGCCAAGGGGAGGGGATTGAATTATACATGATATCTATTGCTTTCGCGCCACTTTACTCAGACTCAGCTTTGCTTTGCTACTCATCGTTTGTAATTAGTAAAAGTACACTTAATTCTAAGCATGGAGTTCAGTGGTTTCTTTCTTGATTATTAAACGAAGGAGCACTCGACACTATCTCTCTGGCCTTCACAAAAATCAGTAGCAGATGAGGTAGGGTAACGTCCCCCTTGTTTGCAAGAAAAGTAGTTATTTTTGCTGTAAGGCATCTCTTTGCTGCAGTTATAACTTCCAGACATGACTTTTATTGTACAAATACTCTCCCTGAATTCACCACTTTTTTCATAGAGGAGTCTCTAGGCCTTATGGTTTTCTATTGTAACCTGTATTTTCTTTATTGCTGCTTTCTCTTTTTTTCCCTTCCCCAAAAGTCTGGGGGAAAAAAGACAGACTGGTTACAGGGTGAATTTGATTAGGAGTTCAACAAACTGTTTGTCCTGATCACCATCTGTGCTTTCTGGGGAAATCATTGTGGTATGTATTGAGAAGATAAATGGATAAAAGAGAAAGAAGCCCATGGAGGATTTCCCTGTCTTTCTTTGTACTGGGGAAAGATGAAAGCAATATCCCGCAGGAGTGCGTTTGGGAGTCATAGAAGCAATGGTCAATTTGATATAGCAGACATAAAGGACTCAAGCAGTAAATATGTAAAAAAAATTAAGATTGTCGTCACTATATTTTTAACTTTGGCACATCAAGTTCAGAATTTCCTATCAAAATTTATACAGGTTCTTCAATCCACCATAAAGTTACAATGTTAGAAAGTTCATTCTGTTTCTATCTTTAGTATGTATAAGATACATTGACTGTGTAGCACATTGTGAAGAATAATGGATGTTCTTGATTTGTTTTCTGATTGTATCTGATTGTTTGCATGAGCCAAGAATGCACTGAAGCATGGTATTGTCTGAAGAGTCAGAGGAAAGATTCAAGGCTTCCTGGCTTTAACTGCATTTGCTCTTATCGTAGCTCATGCTCTGTATAGACTCACCGTACTAATTTTTATTTCTTTTAATTAGGTGAAAAATTTGATGGTGCATGGGCAGTTGGGGACCTGGTCTCCATGGCAACCATGTGAACACTCAGATGGAGATAGTACAGGTTCCTGCATGTGTAGATCACGGTCGTGTAACAACCCTCAGCCACGGTGTGGTGGACGTGACTGTGAAGGAGCCAGGATAGAGATTGCAAATTGCTCAAGGTACTTCCGAATGTTTGGGTCTCGAGTCACCAGATGGATGGAACTGTCCCTTTCACCAGGTTACGAATTTCCACTATATTACACCTTGATCCGACATGCTTCTAGACCTTAAACCTGAGGAAGGCAATCTACAGAAAACTATGCAAGGCCATAAATATTTATTATAGCAAAGCTATGAAGTTGATAGATTATTGATAATTTGAACCTTTTCAGGTGATTGCATTAGAACACTGCCTCTCAACTAAATCTGCCTCACGGAAATTAATCAATACATTAAAAAATAAAAAAAAATAGCTATATCTTTTTCCCTGATGTAATATCACATCTTGTTATCAAGTGGCCTTTTTCTCATGTCATGTGGGTATATGCTAGTGCAGTGATGGCGAACCTATTTTGGCTCGCGTGCAATAAGGGGGGGAGCGCAGGGGGGTCATGCACGGGCATGCCGCACCCATAATTCAATGCTTGACACACACACACCCAGTGAACATGCGTGCATGAGAGGCGCTCTCCCCCATTTTTCCATGCTTTTTTTCCCCTCCCCAGGCTCCAGCGGCTTTATAGGATCCTGGGGAGGGCGAAAACAGCCTCCCCCTGCCAGAGGCCCTCTGGAGGTTTCAGGGACCTTCTGGAGAATTCTCTGAAGCCTCTGAAGGGCAAAAAATGACCCTATGAGCAAACTAGAAGTGACTTCCAGTTTGCTCATAGGATCCTTTTTGGTCCTGCGGAGGCTTCAGGGAAGCCGCCTGAAGGTCCCTGGAGCCTCTGGAGTGCTTAAACCAACCCTACAAGCAAACAGGAAGTCCGTTCCTGAACTTTCTGTTTGCCCTTAGGGCTGTTTTTTTGCGCTCCGGAGGCTTCAGGGAAGCTCCTGAAGCCTCCGGAGGGCCTCCGGAGGGGTGGGGGAAGCTCTTTTTGCCATCTCCAGGCTCCTATAAATCCTCTGGAGCCTGGGGAGGGCAAAAAATGGCTTTAAAAAAGGCTGAACTTAGCTGGTCAGTGTGTGCATGTACATTTAAGATGAGATACTTACTCCTGTGAGTCTCTTGGAGTGCAAGGTGATCAAACCGGTCAGTCCTAGAGATCAACCTTGACTGCTCTTTAGAAGGCCAGATCCTAAAGATGAAACTAAAGTACTTTGGCCACCTAATTAGAAGGATGGACTCAATGGAGAAGAGCCTAATGCTGGGAAAGATTGAGGGCAAAAGAAGAAAGGGACGACAGAGAATGAGGTGGCTGGATGGAGTCACTGAAGCAGTAGGCATGAGCTTAAATGGACTCCAGAGGATGGTAGAGGACAGTAAGGCCTGGGGGAACGTTGTCCATGGGGTCACAATGGATCGGACATTACTTCTCAACTAACAACAACAACCTCTGGAATAAATTCAATACTTGATTGTGTTCTTCATCATCACCATCAGAATTTCCAATCTCACCTACTTAAAGGCAGCGTTTGAAGAATTTGAAGGAAATAAAAATGGTTTTAAAGGCTGTTCCAAATCACTGGAATAATCATAGGGCAGAGCGATATACACATTACTCCTGGCTTATTTACACTGGATAGTTTGGCCATTTACTTCCAAATGGTTTCATGCAAATAAATGAGCTGCCATGTAAAAAAGGCCATTAAATTTAGCACACTAACAAAACTGTGCTATTTTTCAATCTGTGCTATGCGAGACACTAGCATTGGAACTCACACACCAAACTCTGGCTTCCTCATTGTGCTTGGCTGCAGAATTATTTTCTATACTATTTGGAACTGTCATCATCCAAGATAGGGACATTTTCCCTAAGAAAAATAATGGCAGGGGGAAAAGGTTAATGGACTCCATTAGGGCTGTAGTCCCATCCCAAATTAAGCAATTATTATCCCAATACAAAAAGGCATTTTGATCTTGGCAAGGTATACAAGATATTTTGTTAAGAGACATTGTGGTTATGTTGAGTTTAGCCCACAATTGCGTTTGATTAATTTATAATTGATTCATTCATAACTACAAGGACTTAGTGGCTCAGTGGATAAGTTGCTTAGACTGTTAAAATTCAACACCTGAATGCCATGAAACAGAGTGAGCTTACGTCACTTATCTGAGCTCCTGCCAACCTATCAATTTGAAAGCATGCAAATGCAAGTTGATAAATTGGTACCACATATAAGTATGTGGGAAAGTACTAGCATTCTATATTTCACCATACTGTGCTGTGCTGGCTACATGGCCCTGGAAATGTCTCTGGGCAACACTGGCTTTTTGGCTATAGAAACTTAAAAAACTGAGATAAACACTACCACCTAAAGTTGGTCACAACCTTCCAGTTGAATCACCCTCCATCTTCCCTGTTCATTACTCCTCCTGTGTCACCTATGTCTCAGTATGACTATCTTTTTCAGCAGGCTTTCTTCATTAAATCCAAACCCTTCAAGATTTGAACTAGTTCCAATGTCTTTGATAAAGAATATGGTATTAGCTCCATTAACTGTATCAATTCTAGCACTATCTCAGTATGAAAACAAAGGTAATGTGCTTGTTTTTCTAAAAAAAAACACATGAAACATGAAAGACATGAAATTTGAAACTTGGAATATTAACTTTTCAAAATCTGGGACTATATCTTTGAGCGAGTAAAAGATATGAATATTATACCGAAGAATGGTGTGAGGTTATTAATGAAACAGAAAGTGGTCATTTTTTTAGTATCATTGGTAAGGTGTTTTAGTACTGAAGTAGCAGTTCAAACACATTCCTTCTGTTGGCCTAGGTCAGTGATGATGAACCTTTTTCTCCTCGGGTGCCAAAAGTATGTGCGCACCCGTGTACCACCCCCCATAATTTAATGCCCCCCACTGCCCCCTGCACATGTGCACATGACACACACACACACACACACACAGACACCTTTCAGGGAAGCCTCTGGAGAGCAAAAAATGGCCAAAAACCAAGGCTGAAAAGCACCCGCTGGAGCTGACAGGGCAACGCCTTGCGTGCCCTCGCAAATGGCTTTGCGTACCACCTGTGGTACGCGTGCCATAGGTTCACCATCACAGGCCTAGGTCACAAATTCAGATTTAATTCTTTGAAGTTACCTGAAACTGTACAATGGCTAGTGGGTGCACCCAAGCTATTCTAGTATGTGTTCCTGACATGTATATGTTATCAGCTGATCAGATGATACCTTTTAGAGATGAAGACATACATATCAATGCATAAATAAACACATAAATTGATGCATCCACAAGTGTGCATTTACACCTCTCTTCTAATGCCTGTGCAGTCTTTGGATAGTTGGTGAAAAATATGTTTAGTATCATTATAGCAAGAAAAATACACTTCATATGCTGCTTTGGGTGCCTTGGCAGTCTAAACTGTCATACTTGAAGGAGTTTAGTTCATCTTTGTTTAAGATGCTATACATACCTGTGACAAAAGTAGCTAGTGGAGACATGGAAAATTCCTTTGCTGTGTGGACAGTTCTTGTGGAGAATGTTTGTGAATATTTCAACCTAGATTAGTTCCTCTGCAGAATCTGTTCAGCCAGTTTTTGCTTGACTGACATAAGAGCAGATTTGATTTGAATCTCACTGGGAATGAATGGCTTTCCATCTCTTTGCTAGAGAATATTAGCATTTGGAATAAAATTACTAACAGGCAATAGAATTTTATTAGGTACTTAGACTCATAATACACAAAGGTGTGTTTTGTGCTTATAAAAATGGTGTGATGGGTAATTATTCTGATTTTCTGAAAAAGAACTTGGTGCTGAAAAGATTTCTCAAAATCTCCCACTGAGTTTGTGACTCACCTGAGATATGAATATCTATCTCTCACTCCAGGATGACACATGATTAAAAACATAGAAGTTTGATTAGATCTTCTAGATCCTTTTTTTAAAAGCAGTTTATACAGCTGTTACAACTCCACCATGTGGAACATCATTTTCTCTGCAAGAGACATAAGAAACTTGGAATAATAATTTAATTATTTCCAGCATGGTTGATCAGTTAAATGTAGAATATCATAAGATTAATCTGTAGGAAATAGATGAAAAATGTATTTAATGTTAACATTTAGTAACTATTGGGAAATACAGCCATATGATCATCTTACATTCTTCACAGGTCTACAATTTTCCATTTCATCTGGCTTCATACGCCATGTGATCCTTTTACTAGAATATTTAAAGGAGAGGTTTTACTAACAAATCTAAGATTTATATTGAAAATGTCACTGTGATAATAAAAACCTTATTGAGAAGTGAATGTAAATCAAGCCATTGCCTTTTAAGACAGAATCTTCCAAAAAAGAAGTCTGAACATATAAAACTTTATATTCTGACTGCTATTCCAAACATATGCCTGACAAATGGTTGAATTATTTACATATGATTATATTGATATGGGGACACAGAACCAGCTAATCGTTTTAAATTTTGTGTATGATTTTAATTTGTATATTAGTGGTTTTGTTGTTTGTGTTTTTCCTGTAACATTCTGAATGTAGTAAGCATTTATCCATTTTTTGTTCAGTTCTATCAAAACATTTTTGATGTTCAATTTTTTTTCTATTTGCTTAAAAAAAAACCAGGAGTCAGTTACAAGGGGAAAAATAATTTTCAAAAAATTCTTGCCCTTTAATGAAAGACAAATAAAATACCACATCTAAAGTTATGCTGATTCCCAAGAGAAAATGAGAGAATGAATTAGAAAAGTGTAGACAAGGGTCAAGTTTTAATTCTAATATTCCTGCTACAACAGATGAACTAGTTTTCAGGCTCTTTAGTTGCATCTGTTTCCCATATAAACATTCAGGAATCCAAGAAAGAACATAGTAATTCGCAATTCATAATTTAATAAACTTATATGCCGCCAATCCCGTAGGACTCTGGGCGGCTTACAAATACAGAGATAAAACAAAAATAAAAAATAGGGGAAAACGAGAACAATTTAAAAGGAACACACCATACACTCGACTTTATTTTATTTAAAATAAAATAAATAAAATAAAATAAAGACTTAGCCGGGGGATGGACCTCATTCATGAGTCAGCAGCCCCAGGCCTGCCAGAACAACCAGATTTTGGTGGCTTTTTGGAAGGCCACGAGAGTGGGAAAGGTCTGGATCTCTGCGGGAAGATCGTTCCACAGGTGAAAAAGACTTGAGAACAAACTTTAAAAAAAATTGGCCTCATTTTCCAAGGTAGAGAAAACAGGGATGTTGGGATAATCGAAGAACCGTGTCAGGTTCTATTTTGTGATATTTTCTTGGATAGGATACAAGTTTGTTCCTGAAATGTATTTCCTATTGGGATTAAGAAAATGACGTATCTGTTTGGAGAATAGGAAGTACAACCTGAATCTTTTTCAAAGAAGTTGTTGCAAATATTAAAGTGATTCTTCACTTTGTTGGCTGGGCCTTAATATTAACACATGTTATGAGGAACCTATTGCCTTTTTAAAAACCTTACTGAAAAATCGCACTTGCAAAGGGTATTTAGAAGATTCAAGTATACATATATTCTGTTTCTATGTTAGTTCACCATTCATAAAAGTACATGGAATGTAAAAATTACCTAAAGTGAAACATTAATAGAAACGTCAATAAGATAAATAAAAGCAATGGTAGCAAAAAAAAAAAAAAAAGACCATAAAACCTATAATTTATGTTTAACCAGGGTGGTTTGCTTTTTAACCAATGCAAGTCCTTAGAGATATTATCTGAATCTTTTTAAAATATCCATTAAAAATATGTGTAAACAAATGTCCACTGTTCATCTGAAGGAGAATATTGTTAAGATTCTGAAATAACAATGTTCTGATTTTTAAGTAGCAAGTTTTATAGTTTTTATCTTTATCTTTTAAAAAGTTCATAACCAACTCTAGTTGTTCAAATGGATATAAATATTGCAGAGTCACTGCTTTGTTACCTAAAATAAGCAATTGGTAAGAAATCAAACTTTCAAAGCCAGGCTAACTTTCAACCTTGTTCTCCCTCTTCTTTTTCTGCAATAACATAAAATGCTGCCACAAAGTTCACAAACATGAAAAATTACAGCAAGAGTGTAAATTTATGAGGAATGTATGAGGACTTCGGTTTTTAAATTCTAAATTTATTTGTGTTGTAGTATAACCTGCTCACAATGGAATTACTACCTTTGAACTATCCTTATTATTATAAATTTTGTAGTTGGGAGTATTTAATTCTATTAATACGTTTTTAATAAATCTAATCAGCTCTGCACGCTTGCTGGTACCTCATAGCCAGTGGGGTTGAACTTATCATAAGATGAACAAAAACATTAACCCGGATGCCATGTTTTATCTCTCCTCCTTTCTCCTCCTTCTGTCAGGAATGGAGCTTGGACCCCATGGTCGTCCTGGGCCCCCTGCAGCACTTCCTGTGGGATTGGCTTTCAGGTCCGTCAGAGGTCATGCAGCAACCCTGCTCCGCGATACGGAGGCAGGGTCTGTGTCGGACAAAGCAGAGAGGAGCGGTGAGAGATGATCCCCATCCCTAAACTTCTGTCAAAGTTTAAACCACAGCTCTGTGTTTTCTTTGGAAAGGGGTGGACACCATGCGACACAATACCTCTTCACATTTGTTCTTTCCAGTCTAAACCTGCCCATTTATGGTGACAATATTCAGAAGCCTCCAACCCATGGCCCCTACCAAGGAAGCTGGGGAACTATCCCAGCACTCTTATTTAGCACCTATTTTTTTTATTTTTACATCTTAAATACTAATAGAAATTACCTTGTTTTTCCAAGCCTTTTCTGAATTTTACAATTGTCTTTTACTGTTGTTATTGTTTTCAGTTATTTCATTTGTTTTATGTGATTTAATTTTTACTGTGTTTTTTAAAAAATTGATCGTATTATTATTTTGTTCCTAGATTGTAATCTGTCTTGCAGAACTCAGGGTGGAAATGAAGGCTAGAAATATACAAAACTTTGTAATTGTGATTAATTAAAATCAAACTCATACTGGAAAGCATATGCATCAGTGTTAAGTTGTCAACATTGCTGATTCAGGAAGGCAAAGTCTACAGCTGATTCCACTCTGGCATAATATACTTTTGAACAGAGCCCAATAACCATCCTAAGGCCACAATGCTTAAGCAAGAGGGATATTTCTCTCCAGTAATAAATTAAGGTGCCAGTCCAAAGAGCAATGTGTGAGGAATGGCTTATAAATGTTGTAAATAAAGGCATTGGGATTGGAATACTCTATAAAAGATGTCCCTTAGGGATTCAACATGCTGAGGCATTATAGAATGTTGAATATGTAAAAGAGGCATGGAGCTTGGGAATGCATAGAATACCAGAATAACAGAGTTGGAAGGGACCTTGGAGTCCTTTAGTTCTATTCCCTGCTCAAGCAGGAAACCCTACTATTTCAGACTAATGACAATCCAATCTGTTCTTTAAAACCTCCAGTGTTGGAGGCACCCACAACTTATAACTTATTGTAAGTTATATTGTAAGTTTGGGCCTGACCCAAAGTCTGACCAAGTGAAATCTTAGGAGAAAATAATAATATAATATGGTATTGGGTTGCACAGCCTTGGTGGCTTCTAGTAATAATTACTCAAAAAGATAACATCCAGGAGTTGCCATAAAAACAGCGCTGTTTTTACAGAAAGATACATTGCATGCATTGCGTGTTCAGGAAGCTGTTTTTAAATGCAGACTGTCGCTATTTGTGAGGAGAGGGTAAAACGTTTATGATAAAGATACAATGAACCATAGAAATGATATTAAATAAGTTCATGTATGATTTGGATCTGGGAGAATAAAGAGGATATGGAGCAACTGCAGAGAGCACATAACAGAATTATGGTTAAGACCATGATATATGACTTTTGTGTTTTTCCTACATACTAAATTGCTGAAATCCCAAGGTTTTAAAATATTTGTCAATAATCTCTGAAAACAAGGATTTACAACACCCATTTACTATTTTCTTGATTAAAGATAGTCAGCATAAGCATCTTTAGGGATTCAGACTGTAAAAGTTATTTACTCCATCATTATGGACTTGTTTATGAGTTAACGTGACTAATGAGAACATTGGTTTTCTTGTTTGCTTCACTAATTTCTTTGAACTTAATGATCTATTTCTATTAAGGACCTAAGTAATTAAATTGAATTAGAATGTATTATTTTGAAACAATAAAAAACATTAGTATAGTAATGGACACTGTTGTTTAACCCAGTTGAATATTATTATTATTATTTTACCTTTTAGAGGGAAAAATAACTTTGCCAATAGCTTTTTAATAGCTTGTGTGAAATGTTTATTTGTATAACTAAAAAAAACAAAAGAAAGGAATTGGATGTGTGTGTGTGTGTGTGTGTGTGTGTGTGTTTTGTAACAAAAAGGCAACAGTAAAAATATTGGGTTTCTGTCTGGATGGTCTCTTGTGACGAGCCGATGGACAGAGAATGGAAGTAGTGAACTTCCTCCCATATTTTGGCATACCGGGGTCTGTCTGTCTGTCTGTCTGTCTGTCTCTCTCTCTCTCTCTCTCTCTCTCTCTCTCTCTCTCTCTCT